AAGCTAAGAATTTTGGAGCCAGAATCTTGAAGAATCTTAAAGCTCAAGCTTTTAAAAAAAAAACCCCACCACAAACCCTTACCTGAGGTATGTTCCTTCCCCTTTTCCCTCATTGATTCCAGAGAGAGAGGAAAAGAGAAGGAGAGAGAGAGAAAAACAAACAAACATTAATTGGTTGCCTCCTACATGTGTCCTGACTGGAATCAAACCCATAACCTGGTACGTGTCCTGACGGCCCTGACTGGGAATGGAACCAGTGACCCTTTGGTGCATAGGACCTCAAACCACTGAGCAACACTGGCCACACTTAAAACTTAAACTTAGCTCAAACTTTTAAAAACATCTGAATTTTCTTGAACTCTTCCGTTTGTCAAAGTCCACACTACTCCATGTTCTTTCACTCCAACTCCTTGAGACATTCCTGGCCTAGCCTTGCCTTGCCACTCTGGATTTTAATTCTACTCCCTCAATCTACAGTTAACACAAACAGACCGCAAAGAGGAACAACATCTTGCTTGGGAAAGCCACTCGAGAACACAGAACACAATTTCCTACTCTCTCACTACACTACTCTCCCTTTCAGGCACTTTGTTCTATGGCCAAAATCAACATTTGTTACCAAAGAGAAATGGAACCCGGTTTGGCTCACTGGATAGAGTGTCATCCTGTGGACTGAAGGGTCCCAGGTTCAATTCCAGTCAAGGGCACATACCTTGGTTGGGTTGCAGGCTCCTCCCTGGCCTAGGCCCTGGTCAGGGTGCATGCAGGAGGCAACCGATCGATGTGTTTCTCTCACATTGATGTTTGTCACGTTCTTTCCCTCTCTCTTTACCCTCTCTAAAAATCTTCAGGTGAGGATTTAAAGAGGGAGGGAGAGAGAGAGAGAGAGAGAGAGAGAGAGAGAGAGAGAGAGAGAGAGAATCCAAGATTCCCCTGGCACTTTAGAAAGGAGACTTGTTTGAGGATAGCAACAATTTCTTGTTTGTTATGTATGTTCTTGTAGGCAGAACGCTCACCCAAATTCAAGCCCTGTCTGACTTGCTTCAAACCAACTACTGATAGCTGGGAACCCAACGACCCAGTCCAGACCAGGAACCTTCTCTCCTTGCTTCCGTTTCCACCCGACTCCACAAAGGACCGGACCGGAAGTGGCGTGCAGTCGCAGTGCCAAGAGAACTACCGTTAATGCTGCCGCGCTGACCGGAAGAGGAAGGTGCATTCCTTAGGAAGTTCCCCTGTTAGTTGCCGCTTCCGCACGGTGGCTGTTGTTGGGGATCCGAAAGCTTCCGCGGCGCTGGGCAGGTTGTGAGATGCCGGGCGGAGGCCGCTGCCCCGACTGCGGCTCCACTGAGCTGGTGGAAGACGCGCACTATTCGCAGAGCCAGCTGGTGTGCTCGGACTGCGGCTGTGTGGTCACCGAGGGCGTGCTCACCACCACCTTCAGCGACGAGGGCAACCTCCGAGGTACCCGTGCCGTCCTTGCCATCTCGAGCTGTGGGTGCAGCCCGGGGGGGTGCAAGGACTGACACTCGATTTCCCTTAGCTCCCGTCCACTCTTCTTCTCGCACGCCTTTAAGTACGAGAGAAAACGACCTGAAGTGTAGGACTGAGCTGCGAAAGCTTAGGGACTGCCTTTCACTGTGTTTTTCTAGCATCTAGGACAGTATTGGACAGGCATAAACGTTCAGTAAATGAAACAGAGAAACAAGGTTCTGCTCACTTTACCTGGGCTGGTCGTGGCGGGAATATTGTGGGTCATCTCTTTACGAACACAGCACATATCATTACCCTGAAGTAGTTTTTAGTACTAACCGGTAAAACGTCTTTTTCTCCCTTTGCTTTCCAAGTTCCTGAGCAGGACAGCCCTCAAAATCTGCAGCTAGGAAATGGTCTGGATTGGATGTATGGGAGGGTACAAACTTGTACTGAAATGTTGGAACACTTGGAACTGCCTTAGTGTGGCCCTGATCTTCCTCATTCTCTGTGTATGTGATAGTGCTGTGGGCATAGGAAACCAGATGGGCCTTTAATATGCACAGTTGGGCACCTTCTGTGAGACAGGGAGCAGATGCCTAATGATTGGAATTCTGCTCCCTGGCTCTGTGTGGTAGGAGGGCAGGGGTCTGGTGAATAAAGGCTAACCCTGTTCTGTTTTGTTTTTCACAGAAGTAGCGTATTCCCGGAGCACAGGGGAAAATGAACAAGTTAGTCGCAGTCAGCAGCGAGGTGAGGACAAACCTTGTATGACACAGTGGCTTTCAAGAAAATTCTCCTGATGGTCCAGCCCATGTGCTTGCTTTTCCTGATTTCAACTCGTATCATGTAAGGCAGAGTAGAAGGAAATGGTGATTCGCAACAAAGGATGGGGGTGGTTCTAGGAGAGGCAGCAAATCTGTGTAAGTTTGGGATTTGCTCAGGGATATGTTTGAGGTCGAGGCAAGGAGCCCAGATCAAACTTCGGCTTGGCCCTGAATCAAACCAGAAGCAAGAGAGAGAGAGAAAGATTAATCGGTTGCCTCTGCATGTGCCCTGGTTGGGAATTGAACCCATAACCTTGCGGTTTACAGGATGTTGCTCCCACCAACTGAGTGACACCATCCAGGGCTATAGTAGTGCATATTGTATCAGAGGCAAGTTTAGCAGAAATTGCTAGGCGCTACACAGTAGCTCCTCTGACCTCTAACTCTTGTGGGTTTTCCTAGGTCTCCGCCGAGTGAGAGATCTCTGTCGAGTTCTGCAGTTGCCATCAACATTTGAGGACACAGCAGTTGCCTACTACCAAAAGGCATACCAGCACCCTGGCATCCGTGCTGCCAGGCTGCAAAAGAAGGAGGTGTTGGTTGGGTGCTGTGTCTTAATCACCTGTAGGCAGCATAACTGGCCCCTGACCATGGGGACCATCTGCACCCTGTTGTACGCAGATTTGGATATGTTTTCTGGCACCTACATGCAGATAGTGAAGCTCCTGGGGCTGGATGTGCCATCTCTGTGCTTGGCAGACCTGGTGAAGACCTACTGTAGCAGGTACCTGCCTAGTGGGAGTTGTGGGGATGGGATGGGATGGGTCCTTAAACGAATCCTTTTACCTTTGGCTGTCTCTGACCAAAGCCCATCTAAAAAGATGTGGGAGAAAAATCTGTTCTCCCTCTCCTGTGCCTGTACTAATCCCAGTTTACATTTCTAGAATGCTATAATTTCACATCTTTTTGCCCTCACAGCAACCTACTGATGTAAGAAAGTAGGTATTAGCCTTGGCACAGGGCTCCTGAGTTGCACCACTCACGTGTGTGGCCTGTGTGGATCAATTGGGAATGGAGCTGAAGGATTATTAGGAGACAACAGAGCTGTAGATAGAAGCTAATTTTTTTTTTTTAAAGTGGCTGTGTTAATTTCTCTCCTGAGAAATAGAGTAGAAAGCAAAGGCTATCAGTGTCAGCTTGGTTACTTCCTAGCTGGATACTGGGGGCAAGTTTTGCAACTATAAATGCATATAACAAGGTGTAGAGAAGGTAAAAGAACACTTGTAAAGCACTCAGAATAGTGGCTGACGGGGGTTGCTCAACACACGTTAGCTCCCTTCTGCGTTCTCCTGCCCTTCACCTCACAAGCAGAAAACTCACCCGGTCTTCTCTCAGTCCCTGTATGAAGCTTGCTGCCAGCAAGCTTGAGTGTTCCCAAGAGGCTAGAAGAGCTTACCCATCCTGAGCCAGACTGCTCTTGCCCATAGGCATTGAGACAAGACCCTCATTTTGGTTATTTCAGCTTCAAACTTTTCCAAGCCACCCCATCGCTGCCAGCCAAATACATGGAAGACAAAGAGAAGATGCTGTCGCGAACACTGCAGTTGGTGGAGCTGGCGGATGAGACGTGGCTGGTGACCGGGCGGCATCCCTTGCCTGTCATCACTGCTGCTGCTTTCCTGGCTTGGCAGTCGCTGCAGCCCTCAGCTCGTCTGACATGTTCCCTGGCCCGATTTTGTAAATTGGCCAATGTGGACCTGCCCTACCCCGCTTCCTCCCGGCTACAGGAGCTGCTGGCTGTGCTGCTGCGGATGGCTGAGCAGCTGGCCTGGCTGCAGGTACTCAAACTGGACAAACGGTCTGTGGTGAAGCACATCGGTGACCTGCTGCAGCACCGCCACACTTTGATCCGCAAAGCCTTTCGAGAAGGGACGTTAGAGGTGGAGGCCCCAGAGAAGGAGCTGCAGGGACAGGGACCGGGGCAAGGACAGGGAAAAGAGGAAGTGGGGAATAGCGCCTCCGAGTTACCTGAGGGGAAGCGGCCAGCTAGTCCTGCCCTTCTCCTCCCACCCTGCATGTTGAAGCCCCCAAAGCGGGTCTGCCCTGCCCCCCCTGCCTCCACGGTCACGGGAGATGAGAACATTTCCGATAGTGAAATAGAGCAGTATTTGCGGACCCCTCAGGAAGTGCGGGACTTTGTGAGAGCCCAAGCTGCCGGACAAGCTGCCACAAGTAATCCTAACCCCCCGTGATGCACTTGGTGGGGCAGCGGTCATGTCATTCTGACAGCAGCTTGATAATAGACTTGTCATGTCCAGAGAAATAAATGTGTACAAGCCCTTAGGTATTGTCTCTGCAGCTCATTGGAGCCCAGGTCCTGGAGTAGAAATGAGAACGACTGTAGGAACCCCTGGGTTGGAGAGAGTCCCATCCTTTAGTGCCAGCGAGCAGGTTGCATATGTTCACATTCTGTGGGGTGGCCTTCCTCTTAGATGTTGGGCTCTCTTCTGCTCCTGGTCTGAACCGGATAAATGGAAAGCGCTCATGGGGCCTCGCTACTGCTGAGGAGCAGTTGGCATTTCCAATGGTACCAGCCCTCAGGGCAGGAACTGGGCAACTCTTGGCCCTGTGTCCTAGGTATTGGTGGGTTAATGTGTATGGTATCATGAGATCTTCTGCCTCATAACAAAAGGACTGTGGGTGGACTAAGGTTATAGCTCAAAGGGCTTTGCAAAATTTTAATATATTAAAACAAGAGGCATCTGCTAGAAAACATTCTATTGTATAAAACCCGAGCTTTTAAAAACATGTTTTCTTTGGCACTTTTTATCCCCTCCCTCCCCTTTCCCCAGCGTATTGCAAAAAGCTCTCCAGTGCTAAGGCGTTGGCAGGGTATGTAAACAGCAGCCAGCATATGTGGAAGAATAATACAAAGCTTTTTTTCCTGTCTAATATGGTCTGTGCAGCAAGCATAAATAACAGGATCCTCCCACGGAGTGTGGGCTTCCTTTCCTCCCTATGCCTTCTTTCACCTTGGTGCTCAGGCTGGGGTGACATGGGACGGGGAGGGGACCTGGGCCAGGCCTCCTTTTCATGATGCTCTTCACAAGGCGTCAGGTTCCCTCCACTTTCACTGGGTCCTGTAGTAAAAGCTGGTGGTTGCTTTTTAGGTTGGGGGGTCGGGGGGTGGGGGGAAATAGTGCTGGTGTTTAAAAGTGGAGGTGAAGGCCCCGGGAACTGTAGGGACCCTGCCCACCCCCCGAGGGATTTGACCTGGGCTTCTGTGTGGCAGGAAGATGTTTCTGATGTTTCTCCCTAATACGGGGCTAGAGGCCAAATGTTTGGAACGGTTCTTCCATGTGGCCTCAAGGAGGAGGGAAGTATCTTCCTTAGTCCCCAGTGTTGGGAGGCTGAGATCCATGTCTTGTGGTTGACGAGTAACCACTTGCAGCCTGTGGTGGAGCCCTCTTCAGGGCATTGCTTGTAAGACTAGGTTTAAGGCCTGGCTAACTTCAGCCCCAGATCTAAGCTCTCTCTCTACTTCCCTCAGACTATCCCCAGGCGGGGTCAGCTTTGTCCCCAAGTGCCACCCCGGAGCCCTGCTGGTGGTGTGTGTACACTCACTGGGTGGCATCGCTCCCTAATGGTACACCTGCCCTCCTACTTGACCTCCCAGGCTGACTTTCACACGGCCCCCCGCCTCCGCCTCCTGCATAGTCTGAAAAGCAGCACCTTGTCACCTCCAACCGGTCCCGGTCACCTGGCATATCTAGGCTGCCTCCCCACTTAGCCAAAAACTCGGTGGGGAGAGGCCCTAGAAGCTAGGCACAGGCCGGCTTCAGAGGAGGGCGGTGAGGGAACACTGTTCCCAAGCCCCATCTGTGTTTGCCAGGTAGGGCCGACACCACCAGAGGCAGGTGGGCAAGATGCGGGCACCTTAGGAAGAGCCCACCTGGGCTTGCTGGCCCGCCCAGTACTCACCAATCCAGGCAGGACCTTCCCTACCCTGGATGGCACAGACTGGCCTGGGCTGGGACAGAAGTCTATCCTGCCGGTGGCCCCGGGATTGCCTGTCGCTACCCCAGAGGCACGACCCTCTTAGCCGCGCGGGCGCCCGCTGTCCTTAGCTTCAGGACAGAGGCTAGTGAGCCCGGCGCAGCCCTCGGCACTTCATCGACTGGTGCACCGATCGGCGTCCTCAGGGGCCCGCGCAGCCAGGAAAACCAGTCCGGGCGGCCAGCCTGCCCTAAAGTGCCACCCGCCCACCTAGACGGTGGTCTCGCTCTTCCAGAGGCCGGTCTTCATGCAGCCGCCCCCCGCCGCCTCGGCGCCCGCCAGGGTGATGTCCTCGTACTTGCCGCCCTTGGGGGCGCCGTTCAGGCTGGCCGTGTTGAGCGGGTAGGAGCGGCGCTGGCTCTCCTTCTCCAGCGCGCCCTTGAGGTTGTCGCGGCTGGCGCTGCGGCGGGGGCCCGGCCGGCCCGCCTCC